CTCAGATTAAGTTTTAAGGATCATGAAAGGCAAGTAGCCATGTACACATAAAATTCCCAGTTGAGTATAATAATGATATTAATTCCATCAGATTATAAGAATGTAATTGAAAGCAGAATAAAAATGTTTCTCTGTTCTGGCTCAGTTTTGCAGGCTTATATGGGTTCATCCAATGTATTCAAAGGGAGATTTCTACTAGATTCTTAAATTTGTTCTCTCACTACATATAAGAAACTACATTTATATAGCAAAAAATTGGATTTGAACAGGTTCCCTTGCACCCGCAAAAGGCCAAACTTAAAAAGATGATGTGAATTTGTATTGGTTCAGAGCATAATGTCTCAGATTAGACTTAAATGAGTGAGCTCCAAACCTCAGTATTGCACCTGCCTCTACTAGGTGCAGCAGAAGAAAATGGTTATCTTGTGCATGGTCACTAGCACTGTCCTGTCCAAAGAAGTGTTGTTTCTTCAGACCACGTACGTAGCATGGTATACAGCATGGTGGAATCTATCAGACCTAACGGACATTTGTTTGCTTGTTCTTTTTTTTAAATTTGTAAAATAATTTGATTTCCATCAGCGTGACAATATCAGACTGATATCACAAGTTGCTGAGGGCCTGTGTCTGTGAGATACAGCTTCTCCTCACTGCCTCCGTCAGTGTGCCTGCTTGTAGAGAGAGCAGTGTTCAGGCCCATTTGGTACCAAGGGCTTTTCTATTCGGAGATCTAGTAAAAAGAAGGCTGGGATGTGAATCTATAGCCTACCAGGCTGTCGTGTACTATGTGATCATGAGGATCCTCCTACCATGACTAAAAAGTTCCATAGTGTGATTTGACATACCACTATTTGTAACAGGACACAAGATTTCAGTATCTTTTGATGGCAGTGTGACACTGTAACTATTATGGGAACTTAAAGCTAGAAACTACAATAGGTTAAAGCGCGTGATGGAACTTTTAGTGCATGGCAGACTAGTGTGCTGTAGATTCGTAACCTGGCATGCCATATGCAAAATCTCTTCAGTGACAAGCCCTTAACCTCTCTTCTAAACCCATCAACAATCATTCTAATGGTATTTATGTGATCTGGATGCAGGATTGCCATCTAATTTCATAAGCTTCAGAGGAGTTGCCTTGTTGGTCTGTAACAGGAAAACCTTAAACAACAAATAGTCTAGTAGTACCTAAAGACTAACAAAACATGTAGATAGTATCATGAGTTTTTGTGGGCACAATCCAGTTCTTCAGAGGACAGGAGTATTAGAAGTCCAGATCCAAGAATAAACGAAAGGGGGAAGGGAGGAAAAAAGAGAGACCAGTGAGTAGATAGTTCAAATTGTAAGCTACTGCAAGCAGATGACATTTACTTGTATCGTCCCCAATCAGAGACACAGAGATGAAAGTTTACGTATCCTCTGATCCAGTCCCCTTCTTCGTTCTCATTACTTCCTCCTCCTCTATTTGAGTTCTGCATACCTTTCTGCTCCTCTGACTTGACCATTCTTCTCACCTTCCGAAATGTTTTTGTCCTTTGTATAGTCAAAATCCCCATGTGACATAATAATACATGAAAAAATCCACAAGATACATCAAGCACCACCAAAGTCAGTTCATGATTTTGTATTTGTACTTGTCAGTCGGTTTTCTTGTTACTTCTTGTCTTTATGTTTTATACCCATGACCTATCTACTTAGTACGCTCTTCAGGATAGGAACCTGTGTTTTTGGTGTTTCAGTAATATATTTAGCACAATTTGAGTGCTGTAAAACAAAACGACAATCAGATATTACACACAAAGATACCAAATGAGCAATCAGGGGGATTGGACTATTCATGATGGTATGCATTGTGTCTGATAGTGTTTCTAGTATCTTGCCCTGAGATTATAAAATCTACTGGATTTGCTGCTGCTTTATCTATAAAGGGTCTTTTTTATGTATTGTACTGTAATATTTAAATAATAAAATTACTGCAAATACTCTGATTGAATCTTATGCCCAAACGGAAACTATTTTGGGAAATAAAAAGGTCTCAAAGACGGTGGTGGTTTTATTCTGGCTTTCAAAGTGATGCTCTGTTCTGAAATGTTTAG